CTAGTTGTTTCGGTTCTTTCTCCCAGAGTTGTTGTACCGTAGCATACTCGTGTTGGCGTCTTTGTCTCTACTTCCCCTAGCTCTGTGGTTAGCGTTTGCGGCCTTACCTCTCTGGCCGTTTCGGGGCAGATTGGGTTTGCCTCCCGCTAACTCGACGGTGAGTTCGTTGACGACGTTTTCGAGTTGTTTTACGAGTGGGTCAGATACGCTTATGACATCTTCAGCAGATCGAAAGCTCCCCGCAATTGCAGTTAACCTGACTGCCAAAGGCTGTATTTTAGCGTCCTTCGCCATCTCGTCATGGTGTTTGGCAAGTGTTCTGGTCGCCGAAGCTATCATACACTGCCTCCATCTCTTCTCTTCGTCGTCATACGATTTCTGTACTTTCACCTGAGGCTTCAAGATCTTATTTATTGGCGATTCTTTTTGCAGCTTTATTGTCTGATTCCCAAGTGAGCGGGGGTACTGCTCTGTCGCTCGTTCGAGACGCTGGCCCGTTCGCCGGTTCAATCAGGCCGAGCAGACGACGCTTGTCGCTGATCTGCCTTTGTGTTTTCCCCGGGAACTGCGACATCAAGAGCTTGTTAATGTGTCTTTGTCCCGCATACTCTTGGTTTAGTTGGCGCAGTTTCTGCTCCTCTTCCTCTGACCAAATCTTTGACCTGACGCCAGCATTCGTCTTCCTGGGAGCGGCTGCGTCAGCTAACCGCTTCTGGTTTCTGATTGCTGGGTGAGCATGCCGTTCATGCATCGATAGGCCAACTTTGGTAGGGAATGATGAGGAGCAGGCTTCGCACGTATAACCAGTTTCTGCGGGACGACCTAGTGGTCGGCATGATCGAATATGGTTCGAAATTCCCGATGTGGTCGTGCTCTTTCTGTCACAGTGCGGACATTCCCAGTACGTTGTTACTTCTGGGTGCGTCTCTGTTACGTGCGTTTTAGCGTCTTTCGCGCTTAGGAAGGACTGCATAACCCTCCCTGCGCGAGCGCATAGCGAGCAATTGTACCTCTCCGCAGGGTGCTTAAATGTGATAGTAGTTAGTGCGGCCTCGCATGGGTCTCCGGAGCCCGAGTCGGTGGGAGACTCAGAGTTTCCAGGAGAACTGCGTTCCGGCCCCTCGGTGGTCTGCCTGACTGTCTCAACTCCACTAGCAATTGTACGTGAAGTCGAGCACTGATAGCGAGAATCTGAACCCACTTCGAGAGCTTCACCAATCATTGTTGAATCGTCTCCAAATACGTTTCGAGCTTCGTCGCTTTCTGCACTCCAACTCGCTCCGTACGCGCTGCTGCCACCACCAATCCGAACGGCAGTTTTTTGGTCAGGTGGTAATCCCGTACAGCGCTTATCCATTGCATATTTCGTTTTCCCGAGACAATCATCCACTCACAGGGTCGGGACGCCCCGCGAGGCTTTCAGGTCGCGCTCTACTGACCTGCCCTTTGAGGACCTTTGACATGGGTGCGCTGGTGTGGTGTGTTCTAGTCCTCAGCGTCTTATGATATAGCAAGTAGCTACCGACGTGCGGGTAGTACCAGCGCCACCCAGCTGCTATTTCAAATCTTGTCCTAATCGCGATCCTTAGGGGATGCGATATCGTCGGACGGCGGATACAGACCGGTAAGGTGTATTCCGCTCGTTCAAATTTTGGTAAAGTTACCGGTCTTCTGGTAGCGAACCCTTTATAGAGCAACCGCACTTGCCCATATTGGTCGGTCCGGTTCGCTTGCAGACACTGTTTCCCAGATCTTACCGACCAAGAGTCTGGTGGTCCGCGGTCTAGTGAGCTGTCGAGGCATCCTCCTTCCAGGTTTATTACCTGGATGTATAGGATTCAACCTGCAGCAGACCTGTGCGGGTTGTTGTTCAATTCAAGGCCCCCCCCTATACTGAGTGTTCTTAGTATTTAAGGGAAGCCTTCTTCCTTGTCTGAAATTTTTGCAGCCAAAAAAGGCCCCTGGACACTACTAGAGTGACCAAGAGGTCCATATTTTGGTGTTATTTCCGACAAGTGTGGTTTGCCTTCTTTATCTTGTGGGATCCTCTAGGAGAGGTAAACCAATAAGGCCGGTATTCTTAGGGACCCAGTCGACTCAACTTGTTCTTTGTCCTCTCCTAGGCGGAGGTGACGAACACGTTTTGTCGTTTTAATCCGGTTTACCCTTGATACCTGGACCCTCTATGGTTGTTTGGTATTGTGCTTTACATCCATATTTGTTTGAAGCCTTTTAGCTGGTCAAACGAGTTCGTTTGTTCTTAGACGATACATCGCTTGTTGGTATCTCACCGACGATTTACCGTAGCAAGTTGGATACGAGTCAATCAGAGCCGACACTGATATCTCGCCCTGCTCGATAAATCTCCCCATGTTAGCAACTTTGGTTTTCTCTAGCTAATAAGACCAGAGCATACTCAAAGAGGCTTCTGAGGATCTGGCCTTTGCCCGTAAGGATCCCATTCGCATCTCTCTTGCTCTGATCGAAAAACGATAGTTCTACGTTTCGGTTATAAAGACAACAACTGTCGTCGTCGTCGTATTCTCACTCGGAATGAGGAGAGATGTCGCAAATGTGTTAAGAGAGTCATAGTTACTCCCGCCGTTTACCCGCGCTTGCTTGAATTTCTTCACGTTGACATTCAGAGCACTGGGCAGAAATCACATTGAGTCAACACCCGCAGGGGCCATCTCAATGCTTTGTTTTAATTAGACAGTCGGATTCCCCCGGTCCGTGCCAGTTCTGAGCTGACCGTTGAATGGCGGCCGAAGAGGACACCAGAACGCCCTTGCGAGCGCACTCTGGGCCTCGCAGCAAGACGGTTCCGCGGGAGGCCAAGGCACGGTACCGAGTTCGGATCCGCAATCCTACCGCACACGCGCGAACGCATACGACAGAACGTTTCACCTCGCCCAGGCCCGGCACGTCAGCCGCGACCCGCTTCCTCGCCAAGCCCGACACGCCCCGATCCTCAGAGCCAATCCTTATCCCGAAGTTACGGATCCAATTTGCCGACTTCCCTTACCTACATTATTCTATCGACTAGAGGCTCTTCACCTTGGAGACCTGCTGCGGATATGGGTACGAACCGGCGCGACACCTCCACGTGGCCCTCTCCCGAATTTTCAAGGTCCGAGGGGAAGACCAGGACACCGCTGCAACTGCGGTGCTCTTCGCATTCCAAACCATATCTCCCTGCTAGAGGATTCCATGGAACTCGAATGCTTATGCAGAAAAGAAAACTCTTCCCTGGTCTCCCGACGGCGTCTTCGGGTCTTTTTGGGTTACCCCGACGAACTCTCTTGCGAGGGCCCGACTATTGTACGGTTCCGCTGCCGGGTTTCGGAATAGGAACCGAATTCCCTTTCGCCCGACGGGCGTGTTCTTTATATATACACACATACATACATATATTTATAAAACAACGCCACATCAACATCGGCTTTCGCCTAGGGCTTAGGATCGACTGACTCGTGTGCAACGGCTGTTCACACGAAACCCTTCTCCACGTCAGTCCTCCAGGGCCTCGCTGGAGTATTTGCTACTACCACCAAGATCTGCACCGACGGCGGCTCCAGACGGCCTCACGGCCAGCCCTTCTGCGCGCACCGCCGCGACCCTCCTACTCGTCAGAGCTTCATGGCCGATCCGTTTTTACGCGGATCGAGACCGCACATGCCGCTGACGGCCGAGTATAAGCACGACGCTTCAGCGCCATCCATTTTCAGGGCTAGTAACTTCGGCAGGTGAGTTGTTACACACTCCTTGGCGGATTCCGACTTCCATGGCCACCGTCCTGCTGTCTTAAGTTACCAACGCCTTTCATGGTATCCCATAAGCGTCGATTTAGGCGCTTTAACTCGACGTTTGGTTCATCCCACAGCGCCAGTTCTGCTTACCAAAAATGGCCCACTTGGCACTCTGATTCGATTCTCGCAGCTTCATTAGTTCGAGCAAGCCGGAGATCTCACCCATTTAAAGTTTGAGAATAGGTTGAGGTCGTTTCGACCCCAATGCCTCTAATCATTCGCTTTACCGGATGAAACTCGTCACAGACGAGCGCCAGCTATCCTGAGGGAAACTTCGGAGGGAACCAGCTACTAGATGGTTCGATTAGTCTTTCGCCCCTATACCCAGTTCCGACGATCGATTTGCACGTCAGAATCGCTACGGACCTCCATCAGGGTTTCCCCTGACTTCGTCCTGACCAGGCATAGTTCACCATCTTTCGGGTCCCAGCGTGTACGCTCTTGGTGCGCCTCTTCTCGTAATGAGAACGAGACGCCCCGGGAGTGCGGAGCGGCCGCTTTATAGACGTGCCGCCCATCTTCCCTAAATCCGCGCTAGGCGGATCTTTACTTTCATTGCGCCTTTAGGTTTAGTTATGTCCCAATGACTCGCGCACATGCTAGACTCCTTGGTCCGTGTTTCAAGACGGGTCCTGAAATTACCCAAAGCTATAGCGTCGCAGATCGGCGTTTCAAACGAGGTCTGTCCGAGAAATCCGCACGACCAACAGTCGTCCGGGGACGGAACCGGGCGCTAGGTCCGATCGCCCGTCTTAGCATCGAACGTGCTTGTCGTGGGTCGGACGCTAATTGAAGAAGTAGCGGCCTCGCGCCATCTGTATACCGTCGAGCGAGTCGGCCGGAACATCGCGGGTTCGAGCACGAATCGCCGAAACGATCGTACACGGACTCCACCGCGAGCCGTAGACCGACACCCAACGGATCGCGACGTCCTACTAGGGGAAAAGTGCACGCGTTCGACGCCGGATCGAAAAGCGAAAGGCGCGGACGACGCGCGAACGCCGTCCGTCGCGCGACCGCTCATCGCCGACGGCCGAAACGCGAATGAATTTCCCCTTTCGACCTTTCGGGTTTCTCAGGTTTACCCCTGAACGGTTTCACGTACTCTTGAACTCTCTCTTCAAAGTGCTTTTCAACTTTCCCTCACGGTACTTGTTCGCTATCGGTCTCGTGGTCATATTTAGCCTTAGATGGAGTTTACCACCCACTTAGGGCTGCACTCTCAAGCAACCCGACTCTGAGGAGAGATCCTCCCGCGATCGGCAGCGGCCACTACGGGCCTGGCACCCTCTATGGGCTGTGGCCCCGTTCAAGAAGGACTTGGACTCGCCGCGCGACCTCGGGATAAACGGATCCTCCCTAACACCACATTTCCCGGCGCCCGATATCGACCGCGGGATTCGGTGCTGGGCTTTTCCCTGTTCGCTCGCAGCTACTGAGGGAATCCTAGTTAGTTTCTTTTCCTCCGCTTAGTAATATGCTTAAATTCAGCGGGTAGTCTCACCTGCTCTGAGGTCGGTTAACAATATACAACACAACACCACACACAGATATATATGTCACACGCGATCGCTAATACTAAATCGTATAGCTGCTGCTGCTATACTACTACTAGTCGAAAGCGTTCTCTAGTGTTTAGCGCGTATATGCGATCAGACGTCGTTATCTCGAAAAAAATAATTTCTCTCTCGGACACGACGATCGCAGCGCAAGTTCGAACGCGTAACGACTACAGCATATATACATATATATATATATATATATATATATGTAGTGCTATTACGATTTTTATCCGTACAGCGCGCGTGTTCGTTCTATGTGTGAGTTTACGATTCGTTCGTATGACGAACGAATCGTCGCTTTCGCGTTTTGAGATGCCGCGACGACGACAAAGACGACGACGTTTACGATATTACATAAATAAATATATAATAACTAGCGTCGTCGCGTCGTACCGCCGCGTCTACATCCAACACGCTCCGACGTTTCATTCTCCTCTCTCATGTCGTCGTCGTCGTCGTCGTCTCTCGGATAAAGAGATAATACGACGACGCGAACAGAGATCGGAGAGGAAACCGAGCAGTCTTTTAAATTGATACGACCCTCAGCCAGGAGTGGTCCGGGAACAGTATCCGAGGACCGCAATGTGCGTTCGAAATGTCGATGTTCATGTGTCCTGCAGTTCACAAGTTGACGCGCAATTAGCTGCGTTCTTCATCGACCCACGAGCCAAGTGATTCACCGTTCAGGGTAATCGTTTTTAATTAGACGATCTCTATATATATAAAATATATATCGATACGTCTTTATTGTTATGATAATGGCTAATGTTATTAAAGAAAATATATAAAAAAAAGAAAGCGCGCATTTCTCACGGAGACTTCGTGTATTTTGCGCGGCAAACGCGCAAAATTATTTTTGCGCGTTTATAACAAACGAGCGTGCCGACGAAGTCTCTCGTGTACGCGCGCATTCTATCCGTATCGCGCTTCTATAGCATACGCGTGTGCAAGGGGTACAAATAACACTACAACAGAGTTGTACATAACATGAATATATATGTATGTATTAAGCGTACAACACGTGTCGTCCTCTTGTACCGTCTTTTCGTATGGCGTAGAAATTTCGACTAACGGGCGAATATCTTTAAAAACAACCGGAAAAGAAGGAAATGAGTCGTGCGGACACGACGACATATCTCCGTTCTTCTCCCATATAGAGTTACCCGTCGAAAATATCGCCATCCGTACAGACGACGACGTCGTAGAGACACGTGTGTACATACGCATACGCATACAACACAATATTATGTCTATGCGATATACGCGTGTCGGAACGTACCCCGAGCGCGCGCTCGCGCGTACTAGAAGCGCTCTATACGGCGTGGTGCGTTCGAAAATTATACGTATTATATGATGGTGGGACGACGAAAAGATTTTCAATAAGATTTATAAAAAAGATACGCACTCGCGTACACGACGAGACGAGGGAAGAGGTTGTGTGTTACACACAAA